GAAAAGGAAAAGAAACTTTCAAAAACTCGGCGTCCGAATTTAGGGTTACGGTAGCGTGCATCTTTAGTGTAGTGCGTCGAGCTTTTGCACCACGAAAATTGGGTCGCTCGTGATTTTTACGCGTTTTACCTTGCGAGATGGGTTGGAGTTGACTGTATGTGCTCCTAATGAATAAAATGTAATAAAGGAGAGCAGAATTATTCATGGGCACGAGCGCGGTCAGCAAAAAGGGCATGCAGTTCCGATTAATGCCCGCCGCCCCAACAAAGAACAACTGAGCGGCCCTCCGTCGGAGGGCATCTAGCAAGTGGGCGGTCCAACTGGGCGGGCGTTAGAACTAGAACTTTCAGCGGCTGTAGCTCGCTCCTCGCTCGCTGTGGAGTTGCGAGAGTGGGACAGTCTAGCTTGGGGGCTGTACTACTTGCACAAGGAAGGACGACCATGTACTACATGAGCGCGGAGACTGTCTTTAATGACTCAAAAAAGCAATTTCAGACGAGTTCCCCGTAGGCATCTTGCCAATAACTGCTATGGTAGATACTGCATGTGCGTACTCATATATCCATGCAGCACCGCAGCCGCTTCATACCAATCCCTTCGCTTCATAATTTGCTTAGCAAATGAATCAATACGAGCATCAGGAACGGTCGTCCATTTGTGGGCGGGCGGGCGCGGTGGGCGTTCGGGTCGGTATGTTGTAGCTTGATAGGGCCTTATAAGGGTACCTTCCTTGGAAAAGGCGCTATGCAGCGCCTGCTCAGGGTCGCGGAATTCCGTCCTGCCAGGCGTATTAATCCTACTCGTCTTAGGGATTTATCGTGCAACTGCCTTTAAGTCACCATGCGAGTTTTACCTGGTGGTCATTCGCCTATGAGAAGCAGCTGACAGGTAAAGATCATAGAAAGAAGCATGTGGATGGTGCAGGTCACGGTTTTGGTTTGCATGTTTGTAAACAGCATTCCGAACCTCATCCTAATACCTAGGTCTACATTTGAAGTTCCATGGTAACTTGGCGAACATTGACTTACCGGCGTGGAAAGCTTAGATGGGTCAGATTGAAATGCAGTTGGCACGATGATTGGGTGCTCGGCCTAAAATGCTAGTAGGGCGCTATATAGTGGGGAAATGGCGAAAGAACGGAGTGAAACGGTCAAAATCCTGCGAAAAAGAGCCTTCGTTCTCACTGTGTTAGTAATCAATTTTGGACGAGTTTCCCGAAGGCATCTTACCAATAACCGCTACCGAAGGTACGGCTGCATATGTGTACTCATATATCCATGCAGCATCACGGCCGCTTCATACCAATCCCTTCGCTTCATAATTTGCTTAGCAAATGAATCAATTAGAGCGTCTGGAACAGTCGTCCATTTGTGGGCGGGCGGGCAAGGGGGCGTTTGGGACGTAAAGTTGTGGCTTGATAGCGCCCTTATAAGGGCACCTTCCCTGGAAAAGGCATTATGCAGCGCCTGCTCAGGGTCGCGGAATTCCGTCCTGCCAGGCGTATTAGTCCTACTCGTCTTGGAGGATTTATCGTGCCAACTGCCTTCAATGATAAGAGGTTTGAGCCTTGGACCGTGCACGTAATAAGCATCAACGCTCAGAACGTTACTAATCCTATAGAAATATTCGAAAATTCCTTGATAGCGGTTTCAAAAATGAATTCGTCTAACCGGTCAATGTCAGATAGAGCTTCAGGACCTCTTTCGTGTGCTCACGATGGTTATGAAAAGGATGGCGGCTGTATATGCAAACCTCATTTCACAAGAGCATCTTGTTCACAGAGGGTATGCATGAACGATGGAACGCGACGTAGCCCTTCGAGTGATCAAGGCTGTAAGTGTCCACCAGGATTTCTGGGCACCAGCTGCGAGCCAGGTGAATTTTCAATACTTCGGCTACATACTTCCCAAACGGATCCTCTATTTTTCCAGTGCAATGCGTATCTGGTGAGAGTCATTCTTTCTATGAAGAAGTAGAAAAGCAATCGATTTATGTACTTGTAACGTACAACACATTTATGAACGCCACTGTTCTCAAAAATAACGACGATCCAATTCTGGCAGTTTGTCAGGCAGTGAAAAACTTGACAATTACTAATCTTTACTGGAGTATCGACGCTCCGCTGGTAAGTGAAGCAATTATAAAATCTATAAGATGTCAGCCCTTAGCTCGCAATAGCCTGAATGGAGATTTTGGAACAGGTTCTAAATAGCCACCGCCACACTCCTTTCCCTCCACAGCCGGTAAGCCATCTGACCAAACTTCCTCGGTAGTTCGCCACTGATCCAGAGCAAGGTGTTGGGAATGACTATTTCCTGTAACGTGCCAGGAGTAGTAGTTTGGCGGCGATGCCAACTAAGACTGGAACGGTGGTATAGCATGCATGAAATAAGTAGATCAACAAGAAGAAACATCCCCCCCTCACGCCACATACGACCAGTTCCCGTATTCAGCGTACGAAGTGCCTAATTTTGTAGGTACTCAAGAGTTGCCTGTAGCACACATCGTCCCCCACTGAGAGAACCAATTAGATGAAGCTTGAAATCCGTCACAACCAGGCCCATTTAGATTAGGCTTGATACCATTCAGACCCATACACGTGGGAAGGTAGTACGGTTAGGCTGTGTTCATACTTCGCGGTAGTGTCCACCAGCGGCCAATAGCGTCCACAGCGTTCTGAGCGTCCGGCAGCGTCAGCGACTAGGAAAGTATAGATATCGACCTAGCGTCTACCAGCGTGCGCCAGCGTCTATCAGTGTCCACAAGCGTCTCGAGGAGGGAAGTACAGGTATCATTCTAGCGTCTGCTAACGTCTGCCAGCGTACACCGGCGTCTACCAGCGCCCGGTAGAGGAGACTAGGGCTCAGTAGAAGGATGGGGAGATAGGAGGGTAGCAAACTGCTGGTAGAGAGCACGGCGCAATAGGAGGATAGCGAAGAGCATGAGTAGATAGGAGGGCGGCAGACCGCTGATGAAGAGTATGACAGAGTAGCAGTTGTCTGTTATCCTCCTCTCCCGGACGCTAGGAGGCGCTGGTGAACGTTGTTAGACGATGGAGGAAACTGGCAGGCCCCATATCTATATTTGCCTAGTCACTAACGCTGCTGGACGCTCCTGGTGAACGTTATTGGTTGCTGGTGGACGCTGCTGCGAAGTATGAACGCAGCCCTAAGGAATCGCACATCAGGGAGTAATCCTTCTGGGTTAGTTATCTGGCCATGAAGGGGGGGGGCCACCTGATCAATCGCGAAATTAACATATTACTAACGAGGGAACCTATTCCCAGTATTGCACTTCGAAAAACTCCACTCTCATAATTGTTTCAGCAAGGATAGCACATTTGCTGCAGCCGCACGACTACAGTATCGTTCGTTAGACGGAGCGGGGGGGGGGGCTAGGTGTGGCGCGACTCCAGACTAGTTTCCACTCCTGTTGTCTCTTGCCCTCTTCAACAGCTACTGAAGGCAAGGATCGCGAAGGAAAAGGAAAAAAGAAAATATGTTTTCAGACAACAAAGATTATGACGGGACCGAATGTGCAGGATTGCGTGGATGATGCAAAGAGTATGTGTGATCCTCTATCGTCGTGCGATCCTAATACATTAACATTCGACAATATTAATCAAATTATCGATCAGTCACAACCTAATTCTCAGGTTTGTTCACTTTTATAGACCTTTTCATATGAATAACTGAACTTCCTATTTTCGGGGTATAAGGCGCATCCCGCCGTCTCACGCGACAACGCGCGCGGAAGTTGGTAGACGCAGCAGCAGTTTTCCTGTCTTTTTTACAAAGTTTGATCTTTAAACCTGTTTCAAAACATTAAAAAAGAGTAAAGCGAAGAAGAAGCATCCTCCGCGTTTGTAGTGTTGGTGTGCCTTATATTCCAGGAAACTGGGTGGAAATTATTTGAACTTTCTGTTCAAAGTTTCAAAATGGAAACAGTCTGAAATTCAAGACCGTAGTCAAGGTAAG